GCACTCGATGAGTGGACTGTTTCGGAAAAGGAAAGCTTCTTCAAGAAGGCAGCCTCAACTTGTCCGGGCGGCCAGTACGACTGGTCGACAGTGCGCACATGCGTTGTGCAGACCCAGACCAAGTCCCGAGTGGAGGAGAAGGGCTCGTCGGTAGTCGCTGAGGCACTACCCATGGGTGTCTGGCTCAAAAGAGGCTACGAACAGGCTGCAGTGGAAGCATTTGAGGATACCATCTGTCCTCATCTCGGTCAGCTGTACGCGGTACCTGTGCGGTCCGATGTGTGGCGAGAGGTGCGCAGTCAGGTGGACCAAGAGGTCTTACAGCGCGAGAAGGACGTCTGCAAGGCGAAGCGGAACAAGAAACGCAAGGCGGCAGACGAAGGGGGACAGGGCGAAGAAGAGGAATGGGACGTGGCTCCGTGCCACCCCAAACCGAGTTCGTCTGGGCGCGCGGCACCGAAGGCAAGAGGGAAGGCCAAATCCGAGATGACACCCAATGAGCAGGCCAGGCGCCTGGAGAAAGAAAACCAGAAGACAGACAAGGCCAACGAGCGCAAGATGGCCAACGCGGTCAAAGCCTTGGCTGCTCTTTCACCTCAAGCAAAAGCTTTGGCGGCAGTGCAGGCGCAAGCGGCAAAGCTATCTTTGCCAGTGGAACCCTTGTCTGCGGCCTGGAAGGACACGGAGGAAAAGAAGAATCAGGCCAACGCAGTGGTCACGGCAGGGCACCATGTGCAAGCGCATGTCCCTCTGCCGGATTTGCCATACAGCATGGAAGACCTCAAGAACCACGTCAAGGCTACAAAGACCCTGCTGGCCGAAACCAGGAAGGACATCCGAGCCGCCAAAGACGCGCAGGCCGCTGCGGAGGAGAAGCCGGAGAAATGAGGCGGGGGTTTGTATATAGGCGGGAATTTCTATATAGCTCCGCTAGATTTGTGTGGTTTTGGCAGGCAATAAATGCATTGCCGCGTAGAATAAACTGGGGAGTGACGGACATCACAACGCGCGAAAGACACTGCGCATTGGCAAGGAGTTTTTTTTTTGGCTTCGCTTTCTGTTGTGGTTCACGTGTTCGTTTACGTTCTGTAGTTTTTTGGTCCAAATCGGTCCCTCGACTTATTTGTGTGTTTGCCCCTTATATATGATATGTCGCAGCGGCTACCCTACGCCCCTCTTTCTGCGCGAAAGAGGAAAGCTCCGGGAATGGTGAAGGAGATCCATGGTGTCCTCATTTCGAACAAGCGAGTTCATCTATGGGGGCCTCGTTTCGCGGACGTGGGCGTGCATCACAATTTGCGCACCATGTTTGCCGACATGGCTCCTATACGGATCGACTCCTCACACGAAGAGGAAGTTGTCGCCGACCAGGTGACGGTTCCGACGGTCTCCACCCTGGCCCAAGAAACGGTCGATATTCTCGGACCTTTGGAAGGAGAACTGGAAGCAAGGATGAGTCGAGATGGCCAATTGGCCACCAGTATCATCCATATGGGGAAAGCTCTGGAGGTGATACGTGGAATGCTCGCTCCCGCGCGGACTGAGTTGCTACGCACCAGTGGTCTGACCACCGCGCTTCGCTTTGACGCATCGGATGTCGCCCGGATGTATGAGAGAGTAATTCAATTGTTTGCAACTCTGCGCGGCGATTAGTTCGCCCTCACGAGAAGAGAGAAAATGGCGCGTGCTCCCGAGATTGCGCGCGAATAAACACTTCTCTCTCTCATATATATTATATATATATACTTCGTGAGAGATATATATAGACAAGTCAGTCGTCTTTTCTGCTTTCTATTAGCCACATGGGTTCGAAACGCAAAGGCGCCGACGCGGTGGGCGATGTAGGAGATGCCTTCCGGGATGCATACAGGCGGACTCGAGCCAGTCGAGCAGATGTGCTGTGCATCTGGAACGCTGCAGTAGAACAAGGGAAACGGATAGGGGTTGGCCAAGCTCGAGGAGCCGTGGATCGAGGCAAGCTCCCTGCGCGGGAGTGTTATGCCACCCACTGGCTTCCGAGCGCAGTGGACCCAGATAATCCGCAGCCCGTGAGCATTGTGAACTTGGAGAGAGCTCTCCAATTCCTGGTCTCTGCGTGTCCTGCGTGGGACAAACACCTATACTCTGCCTTGGATGGGGAAGGCAACCTGCAGCTTTTGCTGTACAACGATGAGGTGACATGTGGCAACATTCTCGCTCCACTGAAAAAAAAAGAAGCCCTTGGCTGTCTACTGCACGTTTCGATGTCTATGGCAAACGCTGGTCTCCGTCCAGAGCTGGATCCCTGTTTGTTGTGTACAGAGGACACAAGTGGACCTAATTAGCGACGGTGTGTCGTGTATTATGCGCCAGGCTGTGCAAGCACTACACACAGAGAAACATGAAACCGGTTTTGTTATTCACTTTTCACGAGGGAGCCGGAAAGTGCGGCTGCAAGCTCCTTCCTTCTTCCTGGGAGACCACGACGCTCAACGATCGACTTTTGGCATCAAGGGCAGTGCTGGCCTGCTGCCGTGCGGTTTCTGCAGCAATGTGTTGAATCGGCACACTACACGGCACCCGCCCGGTTTCACCACAATAGCTGAGCACGATCTGTCTGTATGCCATCACAAAACGGATGCCTTCTACGCAGACGCTGCTGAGGCTCTTATGGAACCGCTCAGCAAAGCCGCCCTCACCAAGAAGGAACAGTCCACAGGCCTGCGTCGAATGCCCCGCGGCATTCTCTTCAGCCGAGAGGCGAGGTTAAAGTTACCCTTCAGTTCGTCGGTGACTGACACTATGCATGACTACTTTGCTAATGGCATCTGTTCTACTGAAGTTGCTTTCATGGTACAAGAGATGGACTCACAAGGGTATCGCACTGTCTGCCCTGCGAGACGCTGCGGCGACCAGCGGTTGGCGCCGCTGTGGTCGAGGCAGACACCACAGTCCAGAGTACGCTCGACATGTCTTAGCAGACAAAATGATGGAGGGCTACATGTTCAAAGGCGACGCCAACGATTGCTGGGCCACTTTATTCTTGCTGCACTACTATATGGAGAGACTCTTGATGGAATCCGGCCGGGGAAGTCCGAAGACGGTGTCATATGGAGCTCTGATCGCAGAATGCCGTGAAATCTCGCGCCTCCAGAACAGGACGGAGCTGATCACAGACGCCAGGGAGGTCTTACGACTGGCACACCGACAGCGGACGCATCAGCAGGCTTTCGTAGCCGCTTACAGTGTTGAGTGCGTCAGACCGAAACACCACCACAGAATGCACTTGCCGCGGGATATTCTCAATATTCTCAAACTTGGATTTGTCCCCACGTGTTCGCCGATGGAAAAAAAGCATCGAGACCTCAAGAGCGGCAAAGTTATGGACAACCTCCAGGCCTACGTGAACAGATTCGAAGATGCAGAAGCACTTAGTGCCTGAGTTGCTGCTCAACACCGTCATGGAACTGCTGCCTCCATGGCTCTGGCACCAGAGCCTCACCGGAGGCCTGCGCAGTGTTCGCAGATCCTGCGTTGAGGTGCAGCATGACGGCTCGCGCGCTTGCCGCGTCCGTATGCGTTGGTGACATCGTGCTGTGGGCCGACCGAACGTGTGCTGGACACATCGAAGAGATCGTCTGTTCTGAAAAGACACCTCTGCACGCGCGCGTGCAGAGGTTGACCTTGGAGCAGACCACGGCCTGGGGTTCTATCTGGCACGCCGCCGACACAATGTCCTGGCACCGTTTGGACGAAGCAGCCACGTGGATCACGGCGGTGTGGTGGAAGTCTGTAGAAAACAGACGTTGGTGCATCCACTGAACTGACGGATCCGTTGTATAGAACGCACGAACGAATGCGATGAGAGAAAAAAAGTGCGCCAAATTTGTATGAATCCTTGAAAAAACAAAACTAGTTAACTCTAGTTAGACGTAGTTATAACTTAGATATAACTAACTTATAACTTAGTTATAAGTAATAGTTATAACTTAGTTATAACTTACTTTTTCTATGCTAACTAAGTTATAACTAACATAACTAAAACGACCCATGCAGTAGTAGTTTTTTGTTTTTTGGTAGTAAGGCCAGGAGCCCCTAGTAGAGTCCTTTTGCTCCTAGTAGCGATGCCCTTGCTCCTAGTAGTTTCTTGTTCCTGGTAGTAAGGCCAGGAGCCCCTAGTAATTAGCATCCTTGCTCCTAGTAGCGATGCTCTTGCTCCAAGTACCTGGTTCATGTCACGTTCCGACATGTTCTGCAGTACTTGGAGGGTTGTAAAAGGATCACGTGCCAAAGGATTCTGTCTTGTCTTTGCGCGCAACCAAGAGGGTGACAGCTGAAATCTCAAATCCGGGTCAAGTCCTGAAGGATCGTTTTTCTGCGATTTTTCCTGCGGGCCTTTGGAACAACTTTTGGTTCGAGAACTCCCAATAGTGTATACCGTGTATACCTGATCATCCAAACAAACATCACCGGAGAACCTCCTGGAGGCGGGTTTGATTCTGAAAGGAACAGTTTACTTTGATACCCTCACCTACAAGGCCATGTGGGACCCCCACAGGGCCCTGGTCCAAACATGTCCAAACTACATCAACGCTTCCAGAGCAAACCGTTCTTGAAGATTCAGGTTAATTAACAACATCAATGCCACAAGCTGCCACAACTTGCATATGTTACACACAAAATCAGTGGCTCAATCCACCACGTGTGCTGGAAACAAAATACTCTGTATGAACAGGGTGATGTTGTATCCATCGTCGTTGATCTTCTTGTTTTCTCCAATCATCTGCACCCGGTGGTTTTCAAAGCATTTATCCTTTCCATGTTTTTCTTTTATTTTTTTAACGTGTTCTCTTCTCTCTTTTCTATATGGCTGTGATGTGTGGCGATTCATTTCTATGGTGTTTCTTTGATAGCCAAACATCCTCCTAGATTTGGACTAGAAACGTGCAACTACATTTGTGCTTTGGCAACTTGTACAGCAGCGATCTTCGCAGCATCAAGCTCGGGCCCAGCGGCTTGGCCTGCAGGAATGGAATCCAAGAAGCTGAGCATGGCCCGAACCTGAGGAGAAACAGGATGAACTAGTAGCGCTACTTGGGGAGGCCATCGCTAGTAGGGTGGAGGCCATCGCTAGTAGATTGGAGGCCATCGCTAGTAGGTTGGAGGCCATCGCTAGTAGTTTGGAGT